CTTCCGCATCGGCCAGAAGATTGGGGGGCGGGCTCGTTTCGGGCGAGATCTTCCGCGGCACAAACATCCAGACCGGCGAGCCCGTGGCCATCAAGCTGGAGCAGGTGAAGACGCGCCACCCGCAGCTGGCCTTCGAGGCCCGATTCTACCGCATTCTCAACGCTGGCGGTGGGGTCGTGGGCATCCCCAACATCCTGTTCTACGGCGTGGAGGGCGAGTTCAACGTGATGGTGATGGATCTGCTGGGGCCCTCACTCGAGGACCTCTTCAGCTTCTGTGGTAGGAAACTCTCGCTGAAGACCACGCTGCTGCTGGCCGAGCAGATGATCGCGCGCATCGAGTTTGTTCACAGCAAGAGCGTCATCCACCGCGACATCAAGCCGGACAACTTCCTGATGGGCACCGGGAAGAAGGGACACCACGTCTACATCGTAGACTTCGGCCTCGCCAAGAAGTATCGCGACCCCCGCACGCACCAGCACATCCCGTACAAGGAGGGGAAAAGCCTGACCGGGACGGCGCGGTACTGCTCGCTCAACACGCACCTCGGCATCGAGCAGAGCCGCCGTGACGACCTGGAGGGCATCGGCTACGTCCTGATGTATTTCTTGCGGGGCTCGCTGCCGTGGCAGGGCCTGAAGGCGCACACGAAGCAGGAAAAGTACTCTCGCATATCCGAGCGAAAGCAGACGACGCCCGTAGAAACGCTATGCAAGGGGTTCCCGGCGGAGTTCGCCGCGTACCTCAACTACACCCGAAGCCTGCGCTTCGAGGACAAGCCGGACTACAGCTACCTGAAGCGGCTCTTCCGAGAGCTCTTCGTCCGGGAAGGGTACCACGTGGACTACGTGTTCGACTGGACGTTGAAGCGCATTCATGAGAGCCTGAAGGAGGGGGACACCGACCAGCAAGACCCACAGCAGCAGCAGCAACAACAACAACGCGAGCGAGGGGACGTGGAGCAGGCGTAGCCCACTTGTGCTGTCGGCTCTCTCTGCCTGCTTATTGCCCGCACAGCGTGTTTGGATGCCCTGCATGCTCTCTCGTCGAGGCCTTCACGACCTCATAGGTGGAATGCTGTGCTCCTGCCCTGGGCGCGGAGACACGCACGCACGGTGTTCTGGGGCGGCCAACGCAGTGAATAGAGGTCCCCGCCGATTTATTGTTGTTGTTGTTGTTTTTTTCCGTTTGCTTTTCCTGGTCCTCCCTCCTGCGACCGTCTCCCACCCCCCCCCCCTCGCTTTTCCCTGCCGCCCGCCCCTGCCAGCCGTTGGGCCTCCCCCGTTGCCCCCGCAGAGCACGCGTGCCGCCCGTCTTTCCCCCTCTCCCTTTCCTCCTGTTGCCAGCAAGGTAGGAGTGGAGGACACAAGACACGATGAGCGCGGAGCTTCGTGTGGGCAATCGCTTCCGCATCGGCCAGAAGATTGGGGCGGGCTCGTTCGGCGAGATCTTCCGCGGCACAAACATCCAGACCGGCGAGCCCGTGGCCATCAAGCTGGAGCAGGTGAAGACGCGCCACCCGCAGCTGGCCTTCGAGGCCCGATTCTACCGCATTCTCAACGCTGGCGGTGGGGTCGTGGGCATCCCCAACATCCTGTTCTACGGCGTGGAGGGCGAGTTCAACGTGATGGTGATGGATCTGCTGGGGCCCTCACTCGAGGACCTCTTCAGCTTCTGTGGTAGGAAACTCTCGCTGAAGACCACGCTGCTGCTGGCCGAGCAGATGATCGCGCGCATCGAGTTTGTTCACAGC